GAAAACAATATAAGGGACCTGTAGGATAATATAAAGCATGCCAATGTACGCATAATAGGGGTTCTAGAAGGGGAAGAAAGAACAAAGGGGATTGAAAAGGTATTGGAAGAAATCATGACTGAAAACTTCCAAAACTAAAGAAGGAATCAGATATCCAAGTACAGGAGGCTCAGAGGGTCCCAAACAGGAAGAACCCAAACAGACTCACACCAAGACATATCATAATCAAGATGGCCAGAGTCAAGGATAAAGAAATGATCCTAAAGGCAGTAAGAGAAAAACAAAGAGTGAGTTACAAGGGAACCCCCATAAGGCTCTCAGCTGATTTCTCTACACAAACACTACAGGCCAGAAGGGAGTGGCAAGATACATTCAAAGTCCTGAATGAAAAAAAGATGCAGCCTAGGATACTCTATTCAACAAGGCTATCCTTTAGAATAGAAGAAGAGATAAAGAACTTCACAGACAAGCAAAAACTAAAAGAGTTTAGCAACACTAAACCCATGCTAAAAGAAATATTGACAGGTCTACTCTAAACAGAAAAGAAGCAGTATGCTACAAAAATGAGAAACTCATAACTGGAAAGGTGATAACTACCATGAATTCCAAATAGAATAAGCACAAAATTGTAAAAGAAGACATCTAAATCATTAAGAGTGGGAGAGGGAAGCAAAGAAAGCCACTGTGGAAAACAGAATGGAGATTCCTCAAAAGACTAGGAATAGACTTACCATATGACCCAGGAATCCCGCTCCTGGGCTTATATTCAGAAGGAACCCTACTTCAAAATGACACCTGCACCCCAATGTTCATAGCAGCACTATTTACTATAGCCAAGACATGGAAACAGCCTAAATGTCCATCAACAGATGACTGGATAAAGAAGAAGTGTTATATTTATACAATGGAATACTATTCAGCTACAAAAACTGACAACATAATGCCATTTGCAGCAACATGGATGTTCCTGGAGAATGTCATTCTAAGTGAAGTAAGCCAGAAAGAGAAAGAAAAATACCATATGAGATCACTCATATGTGGAATCTTAAAAAAAAAACAAACATAAATACAAAACAGAAACAGACTCATAGGCATAGAATACAAACTTGTGGTTGCCAAGGGGGTGGGAGGGGGGAAGGGACAGACTGGGATTTTAAAATGTAGAATAGATAAACAAGATTATACTGTATAGCACAGGGAAATATATACAAGATCTTGTGGTAGCTCACAGTGAAAAAAAAATGTGACAACGAACATATGTATATTCATGTATAACTGAAAAATTGTGCTCCTCACTGGAATTTGATACAACATTGTAAAATGACTATTACTCAATAAAAAAAATGTTAAAAAAAAAGATAAAATATTTTACAGTGATTTCCTTTGTGCCTAGTATAAGAAGAGCATGAGAACTGATCTGTGATGATAGAAGTTAGAAAGTGGTTACTCTGGGGGCAGAGGAAGCCTGTGATGAAGAAAATGTTTCATGTGTAGCTTTGGGTGGTGGTGCCTCATGTATACAACTGTCAAAATTTGCTAATTATATGTAAATCACACCTCAAATTAAAAATATCTGAAAAACAGCAGTTAGTGTCGAGGGCTTAATCTACACCAGACAGTTGCAGAACTCTTCCCAGCTGTCAGGTCTTGGCTTAGAAGGCTTTTATCACTTGCTCCCATCCCAGAGGTCGTGTGGACCACACATCCTTTAAGACAGGGGCCTTTTCCGGATCTTGTATACCTAGCAACATCTGCTTCATAATACAAGTCTACCAAATATTTGTAGCTATAAAGCTGACCTCAAGTTAAGCAAGAAGTTATATTACGATTATGAATATTACTGTTACCAGATAGATAGCTAATTTTACTTGCAGTAAATAGAAGGATTCAGTACCTACTAAGAGCTGTCAAGATGCTACCTACCTAGTGACTCAACTCAAAGGACTGAAATCTGGGCTTGGCATCTGCCTCTCCCATTTACTAGATGGAAAGCCTCTGAATCTCAGTTGCCTTATCTGTAAAATGAGCACAGTACACAGAGCATCCTCATAGACTTACTGTGAGGATTAAATAATTGTGAAGGTCTCATAAACACCTGTTACACATGACGAGCACTATGTAAACATTACCTATTACTATTTAAGGTTGAACACTTATGCACATACACTACACTGAAAGTATCAGTCATAAGAGAATACGTGGCACAGATTTTAAACTTTCTATCCAAAAATACAGGTACTATAATGAAACACACAGAACTCACCATTTTTGCCAAATTTAAAACATGGATATTAAGACCAACTCAAACTGCAAGAGCAAAGGATTAAGGAGTTGACATCTTAAACCATATTCTTAAAAGGTATTATCTTAGAGGAAATGTATTCTTCATAGAACCTTTTAAAATTCATTTATTCAACACATACTTCTTAAGTGCCTTTCTACAGTGTTCCCCTTAAAGCAAAATATTGCACTAATTAATTAATTAATATGGCTTATGCTTAAGAGTATAAATAATGAAGGTTTGGGAAACCCTAGCTCCCACTACCGGTGTACACCCACAAACACCTCAGACGAGCTCCTCTTAGGAGAGCTGGTGGGCTGGGGCAAGATCAGGGTTACAGAGCCACTGTTCGCACAGACTCTTCGGGAAGGGAAACCCAACTCCTCCCCTCCATCCCTGCGGCCCTGAGCCACTCTGCTGAGGGATGACCTAACCCTTCAAGCGTCCTTCAGGAAGAGGGCTCCAAAGTTTCGGCCGCAGCTACACACTGAGACTGCCGGGCTCCCCCTTTCATTCCCGCGCTTGGCTGCAAAGCCCCCACCGTGACGCTGCAGCAAGGACAAACAGGGAGAGGACGGACGGGGAGAGGACAGTACCGTGGTCTTGATCGGGCGCCTCCAGGCTGTAGCCGTACCCCAGCAGCGTGCGCACCGCCTCGCGGAGGCTGTCCTTGTTTGATTTCTTGGTTCGGTCGTCTAGAAGGGCGTAGGGAACGAGGCGCGGGTTTCTTCTGTTCTTTACGTCCTGCAGGGAGGAAGCAGCTGCGTGACCATCAATGTGCCACCAGCCGCTTCTGGAAACGAGACAGCCACCACACACCTCGCAGGCTGCAGTGTCTGAGGCGGACACCACGCCTTCCCCTGCCTTGTCTTCTCAGGCTGCGGGCGTTACTGAGCCACCACCGGTAGGGAGGTCTAACCACTGAGAGCAGGCGCTCTCCACCAGGAGAAAACGTGAACACAACAGCAGGAACAAAAGCCGGCTTTAAGCATCTCGAGAGCCGTCTCCCGTCTGCCACTTCACGAGGCAACGGGCTGACCTGGAGAACTTACCACGCCCTTGCCAAGATGACTGGCAAGCCTCTGCTACAAGAAGAGCCTAATCAGTAGCCGTCCTCTCTGACTTTTGAGCCAATGGACAACATGAGGCTGCTGTCTCTTTCTCAGAGAAAACCCAGTGTGTGGACAGCCACTCCATGACCTCAGACAGCTTGAGAAATATGCATTACGTCGACTCCAACAACCAGGAAAACCAGGTAATACCAGGAGTACTGAAATGACTATAAACGTCACGATTTATCCTTCATGAAACAGGCTCCAAGTTTATAATGTGATTAAAATGGTGTTGTCGAAGCAAGAAGACGGCCTGTCTTATGATCCTGGCAAATCATTCCTGCTTCATGGAATTGTTGTAAGAGTTAAAGGAAAAAAATACACATAAAACTCTAGGCATAGAGACCGGCATTTAGCACAACAGCAAACTGTTCTATTGTGTTTGTGAGTGGCCACGCACTGACTCCCGAGCCCAGCACTGAACAGGTGTGTCGGGGCATGTGTACATTAGGGTACCTATATGATGTAAGCGTCACAGCGGTCATTCTCTGATGTCTCCTGTCACAAACAGTACTAATCCCCACCTAAGTCACCCCCAGAGCGAGCGCTGTACAGGGAGGCTCCCCTGTACCTGCTGGATGCCGTAGGTCCAGCCCTGGCGGATTCGATCCCGGGCCCACACGTTATGAGCATTTTCCGCCAACTTGTCCACCATCGCTTCCTGAGATGGGGTGAGTTTGATAAAGCTCAGGTCCATCGGGGCAGGCTTGTACCCACTCGTCAGCTGGTAACTACAAAGCAGAACAAAAAGAAATATATAATGGGCCTCTCCAAGAAAACCAAGGTTTCAAAATCCCTCTAATAGTCTTGATTCCAACTGTTCCTAATTCTTATTGCTCCATGAAGCACAGGGGTGACCAGGGGGAACACGTCTGTCAGCAAAGCTGGGCCCCTTTCGCTTAAGCTGAACGCTCATCAGCTGGAAAATGTTTATGTTTTCATTTTTACGTCAATAAAACAGAAATGAGACAACACCCATCTCTTAACTTTATCACTGTTGTGTTCCTAACAGTAGAGGCTTTTGTGCAGCATAAATCAAAGTACAGGTAATCCATTAAAACATCTGACGAATCTCCCATCCTGCTAAGTCATCATGTTCCTTCAACATTTACGTGTTGTATTGATGTGATATTTATTTCAGAAACCCGTGCGTCCTGTCAGGTACTACCTGCTCATTATTCTACAGGGAAACATTAATGCATTCATACTTTATTTCCCTACTGCTGTTCCTACTTAAATCATTCAGGAAGCCTCCAGATAAAACAGACTAGGAAACCCCAGGTGCATCACCAACTGAAATATGGTTAAGGCCTGCATTTTAGGGAACTCTTACCAGAGACTATTTCCACACTCTGAGCTGGGGAGAACAAGTACTAAAACAAGAAGTTTTAATCCTTTCGAAGAAATATAAAATTGAAAACACAAAACTTTCAGCACACATGCATCAGGGCAAAGGTACTGCTCTGCCATACATACACATGAACATGCACACACACGCACACACACGCACACGCTGCCTCATTCTATCAAATCACAAGATCGGCACGAAGCCTATTTTACAGCTGCTTCTCTCTCCTTTTCTGTCACTGCTGTGTCCCCTTCAATCAACCATGCCTGGAGGCCAGGATCTGTTTCTGATCTGTTTTTCTAATTGTCATTATACTTAAAAGAGTTCCCTGGGAGAGAGAAGAAGCCTCTCAATCTACATGTTTTTGAAAGAATTAACTTTATTTACAAGATTAATATTGAGACATGCATCTTCATCTGAGAGTCTCCTTTGGTGCACACAGAGAGAAGAAAATTCACCAGATAATTATGCTGAATTAAAAAAATGATCAGAACATGAGAAAATGCTGTCTGAAAGAGAACTATACGTCATTTTTCTTCTTCTAATTATTCCGGGCCATGGCTAGCGTGATTACAAGGTAAGCTCCTTAACAGCAGGGAGTTGACATCACAAGCAATAAATAATTTAAGGCTGAATACAGTTGACTTTACCTGAATTACTCCTACTTCATGATAAAGCATCCTGTATTTTATAAATGATTTATCTATAGGCAAAAGTTTTAGAAAGATTTCCTTTGGTTTAAGTAGATCAGTTGGTCGGGCAGGTGCAAAAGTAATGGCTAATTATTGCCTTAGGACATTTAATTTACATCCATAAACTAAATTTATAGACATGACATTTGGTTCTACTTTAAGTCAGGACTCTGCATGTTTGGGGAATAAACAATATATTTTCTTTGTT